TACTATGGTAACAATCTGTGCTCTTCTTCTTGTCTACCCTTTCCTTTAAGACTTAAGAAATTTATTGTGAACTTTCCATTTCTGAGTAGCAAAATGCCAGCAGCACCGACATATGAATTATTTATCCTCGAGTTGATACGATATTCATGGCTTGAGTTGCCTTTCATGAAGTCGATTCTGGAGGAATGTTACTTAAATTGAAGATGTTGAACCATGATTTTCCAATGGTAACGTTAAAGTTTTACAGGCACCATTATGATTAGTAGGGTATTACGGTAAATAGTGTGACTACAGATAAGTTCTACTTGTCATAGTTTCAATCGCGTCTTCTTTTTCTAGATTATCAAAACACCGATACCCCGATTGCCACTGATTATGAATATGAAACGCACATCTTGCGTACTGGAAAGTATAAGCCTGATATATTTGATGAGTTTGTATAGCCACTAGGTCGACGAGGGAATCACCAGCTTAGTAGTCAGCATTTTTGTGTTTACGTGAATCATCATTGATATATTCATTTTTGTAAATTAGCTGTTTATAAAATGATGAACTATTTAAAATAATATCGTTTTTTTTATCCCGGAAATATATTGCTTTGGCCGTATTTGGCACAACTTTTTCGGTTTTTAATGATCTTCAACTTCGGATTTGATTTGACCTCCAAACAAGCTGATTTAATTCGAGCGTCACTGATGAGTCTTATCAGACTCGAGTTAGGCGTACAAATTAAATTTATAAGCTCGGTATCTTTTCTGAGTTTTTTAAACCAATAACTAAAGAAAAGAAAATCACCAATATCAAAGGAACATACTATTGTTTAATGCGAAATTGTAATCATAATTCCTGTGATTCGGTGAAAACAAACTTTAAATTGTCACTAGCCATGTGAAAAATCGAAAGGTTGCCTGTCAGACCGTGTATATTTACGCCAAACATATTTTATTCTGGTTGTCGAAATTGAAACTTTAGAATTGCTCAATATTTTAAGTTAAAAAATACATGAAATACTAAAACTTTCTTACATCAATATTAACTGAAGATTGCAAAATCGAATTCAGCTAGAGATTTTTAAAGGAGTAAAATTGTTCTTGTTGTAGAACAATTATATTTCTTAACATTGATACAAAAATTGAAAAACGAATAAGTGAAATATTTCTATAGCATTTCTATTTTGTTTTATAAACTGAAATTTGCTTTGATAAACTTTACATTACCTATTTCAATTTTCAACTAAAATAAGAAGACTAACAAGTACATCATTGTTTTTCTGTTTGTAAATTTCTCGATAAAAATCGAAAATGTTACATAATGGGTTATTTTTCATGTTTCAAAAATTATCACAAATATGAAAATGCTCCTGTTTTTGGTATTTTTATGCCCCATTTATGGGCATTATGTTTTTCGGTCTGTGCGTGCGTTCGTTCGTTCGTCTGTCCATTCGTCCGTTCGTCCGTCCGTCAGTCTGTCCCGCTTCAGGTTAACTTTTTTGGTCAAGGTAGTTTTTGATGAAGTTGAAGTCCAATCAACTTGAAACTTGGTAGACATGTTCCCTTTGATATGATATTTTTAACTTTAATGCCAAATTAGAATTTTGATCCCATTTTCACGGTCTACTGAACATAGAAAATGATAGTGCGAGTGGGGAATCCGTGTACTATGGACACATTCTTGTTAATTTTTTAAATTGTTTTGGAAAATGAAATTTGCATAGATGTTTATTCATTAAATTTAATTTACATTATTCATTCTCCAATTCTGATAGCGATATTAAAAAATGTTTAAAAGACGTTTTTGTAAAAATCTTTTTCATTATTTCTAATTAGTAGTTTAAAACATGTCTAGTTGATATCATACACAGTGCACACGTATTTATCTATCAAAAGTTCTTCAAAAATAATTTACTAAAGAAATGAAAATGAAAAAAAAACCAGCAATTAATGATAATTTGAAAAATATTGTGGACAGTTTTAAAATTGAAAAGCCAATTTTGAAACAAAGTCAAATTTGTTCTACATATAAACAAATTGGAAAATAATGCAGATATGAGCTATTTCCAATTTTGAATTTTTCTAAGAAAAATAAGTTATTTTCATATTAAAATCTATAATGACAAAATGGAAAGTGCTCTACATTGGAAATTTTTGTCGTAAATGTATGTAATTTTTCAATCTAAAGTGACAATTTGAAAAATGCTAATCATTGGTACGTTTTTCATTTTTCAATTTATAATGTCAAAATGAAAAATGCTCCTCATTGGACAAATGTTTGTCGTAAATGTACATAATTTTTCGATCTAAAGTGACAAAATGAAAAATGCTAATCAGTGGTACATTTTTCATTTTTCAATTTAAATGTTAAAATGGAAAATACTTCACATTGGAACATTTTTTTCATATTTCATTTTTAAAAGTAAAATTGAATAATCAATAAGGTGAGCAATTACATTTTTTGCTTTTTCGAATAAGATTGAAAGACTGATTTTTTTTCTTAAAACAAAGAATTACACTTGTTTTAATTCTTATGTAATATTTAAATTTAACAGATTTTTGCCATTATATTTTCTTGATTTTTCAGTATTCTTGCAATATATATAAAAAAAAGTTCAATGAAAGTTTCGAATCTTATTTAGAAAACTAATTTATTCAAACGACTTCACAAGTCTTTTTCTAACTTTCAAAACAGGTTACTTCCAACATTTTCTCAATTTGCGAAACCTTTTTTTCTAAAGAAATGACAAATGTTTGGCATAAATGTACACGGACGCAGACCTTTATAAAATTTGACATTATATAAGTCGCGACTTTGTCAAAATGTTTCGTATCATTCGGTGAAAGCAAATTTGAGTTATGACATGAGTAAGTTAATACTATCCGGTTTATTACCATTCTATTCCGCATAACAGTGGACAAACTTAATTGTTATGAATATAAAAAAATGAAACGTAGCTAGTCTTTATAAAAATTAACATTGTGTGAAAATTCCTTAAGGTATTTTAAACAAATGCAAGTTTCTTGTTCATTGGAATCGGAAATTATGATGTATCATAAATTTATTAAATAACAAACCTTACATTTTCACAAGACATTCGTCTCAATGATATTATTATTCCATCTTTAAAAAACCATCCTTACATATTTGTTTCAAAGTTGTCACATTTAAATGAAAACTGCAAAAATCTGCTAAAAATCGCTTGTTGTCTGTAAAATAAACCTCATCATAGATAACTGTCTTATATAACATTTAGATATGAGCCAAGAGCTTCACAAAGAACATATTTCTGGATTTGAAATTGGCTCATACATATATATTTTGAACAAAAACTGTGTTAAAATAGGCATTTGTTTTGTTAAATATGACAATTCAACATGTTTTGCAAAGATTGTGACATCACAAATGATATTTCTGCAATACAAATTCCAGATTATATCATCTAGTTGATTAATCTATCAAACATAATTTTGAATCGCTAGAATATTTTTATTTCAATTTCGAAGACACTATTATGGTGCTTACCATATCCCATCACCATATATATTGGAAATTGTCTCGTTTTCCTTTCTTTAAAGTCTCTATAATGACTTTGATCTGAAGATAATAAATAAAAGTGACTAGTCTATATGAAACCTGATATTGTTCGGACGTACATAATTTACAAAGTGTTACTTCCATTTTATATTACAGGGTCGGTAATGCTGCTTGTGGACTGCTAGTCCCCAAGGAAATCATCAGCTCAGTAGGCAATGCTTAGATCATGACACAATTTATAATATTCTTTTCTTAAATTCTGATTTTTGTCTTATAGCTCCTGACGTATTCAAGAACTTATACATCCTTGGATTTAACATTTGAGAGTTTGAGTGTTCCTTTTTAAGGTCAATCCATTAAAACGCACCGAACGCACAAGAATTATAAAGTGTTGCATTTTGCAAGCGTACTTGAATTAACTCACTTTATAGTTAAATACACGTAATAATTCACAAATGAAGTAGGGGTTGAATATCATGAATCAAGTAATCAGTAAAATAAATTAGGTGTTCGGAAAGTTTCATAGTCCATGATCAACATTTGACATTGGGCTACTCGTAGTAAGATCGATATAAATTATCAAATAGCTTTGTTTGTGACATTATCAAGTATGTTTAAGTTTCATTGTCACTTAACCCCAAATATGAATTGACAGTACTTTAACTATCTTGTTAGAAAGATCAAAATCTAATGAAACCGTAGCAAAAATCGGGAAGTTCACGAAGAAAAGATCATATTTCTAAATAATATAAATGATAATGTAATAGACACAAATGCGAATTATTTTCGTAGAAATAAAGCTATACACAGAACATAAATTGATTTTGCTTCTATGTCAATCATCTTAGATGAAGTACAGAAGTATTTAAAAATTTTGACTGCTTATCAGGACAGTTTTTGCATAAATCTCCATTAACCAACTTTTGTATCTCATTTAACCTAATATTTTTATTATTTAGAAATTTAAAAAAGAACTAATTCATATGCAATATCTTGTTGATTGATGTTGCACAATGTTGTTCGGAATTCCGCTTTTTATAATTATTTGGCTCTTGACCTTTTGGACATCTAGAAGGTAACTAAATCAGCTAAACGATAATAAACGTGCAAAGGAAATCCATATTTAACGTTTTATAATACTTTATGTGTAAACAGCATCACATTACGACTGCTACCAGTAAGTGCAGCAGAAGATTCCATAAAACATTTATTTTGTTATGTTGTGTACACTTCATCCTTTACGTTACATCTGTCATGCCCATGAAAATTGACCTCGTACGTTTTTTATTCCTTTTTTCAATGACCAACGAAGAATATTGTGTTGAATGTCCTTTTCGTTATTGCAACATTCGAGTAATATTGAATATAGGCTTCTTATAGTATCATTTGTTCACAAATTGAAATAAAACCAACATTATAACATTTATTAAACAATTAACACAACATTTCAAGCATCATAATATATTCAGGAAGAAGAAAGTGAATACAACGTACTGTCAAAATAAATACATAATTCTAAAGAATAGTTTCATTCCGTGGATGAAGTTTATATCTGGTCTATCTTAATTTAAGTCTACTTTTATGGAAAATGTATATTTGTATTTTAATTGTTTTATTTTCAATTTTATAATCGAATATACTGAATTCAATTATGAAACAGATAAGTTAATTTCAGAGACTGTAGTCAGACAAATGTAAATGGGCAATAAAACAATGATTAAAAAAAAGAGAAGTTAGTAAAGACGCTTTACTCAAGGTTAGGTATAGACTCGTTTTGTTTTAACAAATTATCGTAAGACACTTATATTTCATGACCCATTCATTCAAATATAACGCGTCTGTCATCTATTTCATCTAGAACCGGACTACTTTTAGACGGACTTGTCACCATGTTGTTTAGTTCATAATAATGATCTCTAGCGATATCAGATAATATAGAATCACTAGGACATTTTCTATCCATCACCGGAACTGGAGACTCTCTTAAAGTACAATGTTTCAATAATGTCTGTTGAATATTATCATCGTCACATTCATTATCTATTGTGTCACCTCTAGCTTTATTTTGAATATTGTCATTTCCGGTTACATCAGTCAATATTTGAACATCTGCTAACTTTGTTGTCTCGTATTCCTCTAATATTTCTTCGTCTATAGGGTTTATAGCATGTGGCTGTTCAGAGTCTGCTAAAGTTACACACTTCTGAAGAACCCATGGATTATCATCGCTCATAGAAGCGATTGCTGTGTCCGTGAAATTACCATTTAAGCTCGTATCTACATTTATGTGCCTCCCGCTATGGTATTTGTATTTTGGATAGCTGTCTCTTCTAGGAGGAGGAAAAAACACAACATACTCACTAGCACTGCGGATATAAGGAGGAGGAGAACGTAAACGCCTTTCTGTTTGTCCATCGGAAGATTCATTTAGTATTTTGTCGACTGCTTTGCAATCTATTCTTATAGATGGTTGTTTGACAGTATTGTGAAGAAAAGTTGACGTGGAACAATTTGATTCGCTATTCGATGGCGACCTTGAGAATAAAGGTTTACCTGTAGATGAAGTACACTTACTTTTAATTCCATTTCTGTTTGCTAAGCTGTTCCTTGAATTGCTTGTGAAAGTTACTCTGTATCGGTTAGCTCTTTCTGTGCATATACCGTATTTTCCAAGCAGGATGTATAAATCTTTTCGAAATTGCTTCGTTATAATGACATACAAATATGGATTTGCAAAAGAATTTAATGGATAGAAAAACACTAATAAAATTTTTGAATTTGTTATGTCAATCAACGGGAGTCCTGCAGACGCAGTAAGACCGAAAAAAGCAATAGGAGCCCAACAAGCAAAGTTTGTAAAGACGAGCATTGCCATACGTTTAGCAATTGTAGCATCGTTGTTACGAACATTTGTATGGCTTCCTCTCACTTTGCAATACATATTTATGTAGCAACCACAGATACATAAGAAGGCCACTCCATTTACAACAAGGAGGGAAACGACATAAGTAATGTCAATAGCATCCTCAACTTTCATTGGAAGACAAATGCTTACATGCCCATAACTGCTTATGCCTACTAAAGGCAGGTGTGCCATAAATAAAGAATATAGCCAACCAAAAGCCATAAAAATCATTGCCTGTCTAATACGCAAACGTTTAGTAAGGTGAATAGCGTGACTAATGGCATACCATCTTTCAAGAGTAATTATGGTCAGTGTAAATATTGACAGTTCACATGAAAATACGGATAGAAATCCTGCTGCTTGGCACCCACCTTCGTTTTGCCAAATAACAGCATAATTAAAGTACTCGTTCAGAGTGTGTGCATCAATTGATGCAAGAAGTAACAAATAGATACCCATCATTAGATCTGCAAACGCTAAATTACACATCAGAAATTTCGTTACATTCAGTTTACTCCTACTTTTGATCAAAACGATAAGAACGACAGAATTTCCAAATAAAGAAGCAAGAACTATTATCCACACAAATATACGTAACCAATCATAACCCATTAGATCTTCACAAGGGTTAAATGCATCGGGTTCTGGTGTACAGATAACTTGACGATAATCCTTCACAACTTGTCCACAGAACGCATGAGGATGAGATACATTAGACGGTATATCATCAAAATATCCGATATTACCTTCCGTTTCAAAATTTGAAGCATGGTATTTTGATTTATTGACAAAAGCAGGATTTCCAAATCCAAGATTATCATTCCACACCTCTTCATATGTATCATTATATATAAAATGACTAGAAAACATATCTCTTTTAAATCTTTTGTCGTGCAAAGATTCATACGTAGATGACTCAACAACGTTTCTGTCGGACTTAATGGGTGTCTCTGTGGAACTGAACGATGGGATGGAGCATTCTTGTTGGATACGTCTCTGGAACTCTATGTAAGCTCTCCATTCAGTTGGATTTTGCTTTTCTGGATTTTTGAAGAAGCAGCAATGGTGCGGATAATAGAGTTGTGCCATTTGAATTCGGTTAAAATGTATAACAGGAGGAAACTGCCTCAACGATTTAGTACCTATCAAGCGTAGCTTAACTATACTCGCCAATCCTTTCCTTGGTAAGCTTTCAATAGAGGTCCTGGACAGATCTCTGTTGATTAAAGAAAAGAAACAAAATGGGTTATCATTTATAGGTCGTTCAACGCTAACATAGAAATTACGTAAGCAAAATTTATAGATAAGATATACTATATGTGGTTCTGTGTTTATGACACTCATCAGGAAATATTTTCGTATACATTAGTAAAAAACAGAAGAAAGCGAAAGAAATTTTTAAGAAATTTCTAAACAAAAGAATATATCCGTTCAAAAAATCATCGGAACAACACAAGATATTGAAATCTTAGTTAGTATGATAATACATGACTGTTTTATTGAAATCAATTATAAATAGAAAATAATAATAAAATACGAATGATCAACATAATCGGTATAGTTATGTTATACGTGTTGTACGCGATTATTGTCCCACTCTCTTTCGATGAAAGGATTTACTAACGTGAAAATAAATACAATTGTCATTTACAAATAACTTTCTACATATTTACTGGTTCATGACCAGTTACTGCCTATTATAAGCTTTTTCCATCAATACGGAACGGTACTCGTAACTTCAGATAAACATGATATTATTACTTTTAAACATACTACTGTTAGGTAAATGGTACGTTCAATGTTTTATCTTTTTTTTAATCAAAAGGAAGGTGTTTGTGATGTGACGTCAGTGATTATTGGCGCATTTGAATTTCCAAAACGTAACGCTTAATTCAAAGTAATATCTAAGTTTTAATTAAAATAACAATAATGTAATAACCTAAGTAAGTTGACGTCTGTACTTTGACATCAAACTTACGTGTTGTTAGAATGCAAAACCAACGCCTTCATTTATTCATAGAAACTAAAAAAATTCCCATTTCAATTTAGATTTCATTCGTTTTATAAATAAGTGAATATTGATAATTTTAAGTGACATAATCTTACTAAATTCACACATAGAAATGGAAGAATATCTTCCAAATTAACTTAGCTGACAGAATCATGTTAAATTAATTCCGTTTGACGTTTTTTCTTGTCTTCTTCTAGCTTTACAAAATGCTTTGCCACAAAATTATTCTTTGGTTATATAAGAGGGTTAAATAAATGATAAAAAATAATAACAGATATTTCGAACTCTTGATTATCCTTTGTTGTTGAAAACAATTTCCCAACATGCTTTCTTTTTTCAATGGCTGATAATTCCCGAGGATATAATCACTCAGTAGTCAATCTTTCGGCACTGACATGATTAAAGACATACCTTTCTCAAATTTTACGTTGATAAATTTTGTAACTAAAGATCCAACTCCGTCAGACAAAATTGAACTTAGAATGATTTAGCTTTTCTCTTTATGTCCCTTTGGTAATATGAATCTTCACGTTTTGAAGTCATCGTATGCTTTTTAGCTTTTAATTTATTTATGTTTCAAGCCTTTCCGATGATGGTAAATTAAGAAAAGCGTATCAGAAAGACACAATTGATGAAGTGCTATTTTCATTTTAAATCAATGAAATAAGTATGCATAAACCATTAATTTGACATGTGATAAATCTATACAAAATTTCCGTTACATATCTATCCCAAAACCGACTGAATTAATAAAAAGTCCAAATTTCTACCTCCGTCATTACAAACCGGATGGTATTGAGTGTTTTAGTGTTACAGCTTACTAGATAACTGTTGACTTTTGTTTTTAAAAGATACCAGATATTCATCGTCGTCTATCACACATTATTCCCAGTTGTGTTATGTTTTGGATTGTGACGCAGGCAATAGGACTTACTGGAGGTTGGACTTTGGTATAGCAATTCATAAATCATTCTTTGTTTCATGATATCTTGTTCAGGCAATTTATTTTATGTCAAATGTTTAAGAAAATTCATAGAAATTCCTTTTATATTAAAAATCTTACAGATTTTCAAGAATCCCTATTGCATCGAAAGCGTTTTCTCCAATTTCAGTTAATGTCGGATTATTTTGTAGTTGCCTGCAATTAAAAAGATATATTCATTCAAATTAACCTGAAATGAGTCAATTAAAAAAATAAATCGATTTAAATGAACCTGAAAATGGGTCCATAATATTAGATTAAAAAGAATTGATCATAAAATTCAAAAATGAAATTATTTAATGGGCACAATATAAAAATAAGCAGCTGCTCCAAGAAAACACAATACGCCTTCCAGAGCATCAAATCAAAAGTAGCAAAAAAAAAAAAAAAAATTTGTATATTGAAATACAGTATGCCATAATTGTTTTAGTGCTTGAAATTATAAGTAGCAATTTTGGTAGTTAAGGATCAATAATCAAATCTGAACAATCTCAAACTTGTTGAATTGCATAATAATTATTCCATTGAGTACTCAATAAATAAGATTTTTGTAATGAAACTAAGGCTTAATCCAAATGTCCATACAAACACAACAATAACACCGGGATTTGTATAGTAAACTTATTCCGCTTGGCATGCACCTCAACCCGATACAAATCCAGGTGTTAATCACAGAGCAATAAGGTACTTTCTGCACACGGAACAAACTATGCTTACACTTCAAGAGAACATAGTCAAATCCTTTATACATGCAACGTCCACAAACCAAAAACATAGAGAAGGAGGACAGCCCAATGATTTGGGGGACAAAGGGTCAAAGTTCAAGGCCACTGTTATCAAAATGAGTTTGTTGGGATTGAAAAATGTATTTCAGATGGATAGTAATTTCCGTTGCCTGGATGGAATGGAACTTATGTAGATGACAAATATAGGGCAGAGAAAGACAACTTGATTTTGGAGTCAATATATAAAAAAAATAGAAAATTTTGGAGAAAATTATCCTTAAATTTGCCTTGCTGGATTGTAATAACATTTATACAGATAGAAGATATAGGAAAGGGACGGACGCATAGCAATTCGGATTCAATATGTCAAAGTTCAAGGTCACTCTTACTATGAATTGTAAATTTTGGGAAAAGCTGGTTTACATGAAATGTGAGCTTATTTTTAATGTTTAGCAATAGTATTGGTCATATGCTCCTGTCCAATTTGTTGAAAGAAGATGCTCAAGAGGGTTATTCTGTATATTGGGACTCCGAGGAAAGTATTTGTAACATTTCTAAAGTTTGTATATATTTGACTTTTTATACTCCCAGTAGCATATAGTCCTTTCTTAGTCATGCTTTTGGACAAGAAAGTCGAGTATCCCATTATGGATTAGGATCTATTTATATAGGTGATTGATAAGCAATACTAGTACATGTTTTATTTGGTCTCTCCAAGCGTAGTGGTATTTTGATACAAAACATTCATCTAAGTGTTATCAGGATTCCAAAATATCTTACATATTGTCTGTTTTTCTTCGACATTATTCTAATGTCACTTCGGCATATTTTGCCTTTTTTTTGTTTGCTCGTATTTAATTTGACAATTAAACTATTTTGGTCGAGCGCCACCAATGAGTCCGAGACCGAACGCGCATTGGGCGCATCAAATTAAAAAATAAATCTGGTATCTTTGATGCGATTTACAGCCATTTGGTAGATGCCATCGTTGGTGGACGTTTCGTCCCTAAGGGTATCATCAGTCCAGTAGTGAGCAATTTCGTGTTGACATGAAATATCATGTATGTGTTCATTTTCTCTATTTACCGTTTATAAAATGTTGAATTATTCGAAACACTAAGGTTAATATGTGCCACCAGGAATAAATTTTTTAGTCGTATTTTGCACATCATTTCGGAATTTTCGGTTTTTAATGCCCTTTAAATTCGTTTTTAATTTTCGAGCAGAATTGATGAGTCTTATGTAGACAAAATGTGCGTCTGGCGAATCAAATTATATGCTTGTGTACCTTTGATGATTTTTTACATTTGTGTGCAATAAATTTATTCATTAAATTTATTAACACAGCTTTTACAATGTATAATTAGTTAGAGAATGTTTCTGATATTTAGTCAGATATTTTTTCTGATATTGCACAATCATTTTCGGGATTAACACAGTTTCCTGCAAGCGATTCAACAATGGGTTTCCATTCTGTTACTAAGATGCATTAAAGGATAATAATAATAAAAAAAAATGTATCACTACTTACAGGGTTTTTACCTGCGATTTAAAGAATGCGCCATCGTAGATCTTTCTCAACTTGTTGTTGTCTAGTGTCCTGCAATTTAAGCACAGAATAATGATTATGCCATGTAAAATTGAAACATAGTGCCACCACTGCTAATTAAAAACACTATGTGTACAAGCTGCATTGATTTGAAATGAATGTAAAAGTATTAACTACACTTTTATCATTGGGGTTCTCATTGTTTGATCCTGTTAGCATATTTGATCATGTTAAAGCAGATTCTATACAAAGCCTTCTTAAAAGATAAACAACAAAAAACAAACATCTGGCAAAAACCTTAACTTTCAGATAATTAGATGTGTTCTTTCACCTATAGAATTCTTTTAAAGTGAAACCTTGCACCCTAATCATCCCTTTGAACATGATACTAGTATTAAGGATACTACATACAATAAAGTCTACATTATATCTAGATTTTTTTTCTTGAAATTGAAATTCTTGTGGCAGATTTGGCGTTTACGTTTCTCAGTAAATGCTAATAACATACCAGATTTTCAACTTAACACTAGAATTTAGGATAAGCGGGATAAATTTATGTTTCCCTATGTCAACTTTTCACTCTTGATTAGCAACATTCAATCTGCTGCAGCATATTGTGTTAACGTAGCTCAATAAATACGATATTCAAGAACTGATTTCACAAAAAGGTAGATATATTTCCCAAATCAAAAAAATACTTCAACAAGGCGGTAAGGAAGAGCATGAATTATCAATTCACAAGCTCTGTGGTGTCAAATCAGATTATTTGATCGTTGCAGTGTCTCAGTTTCGTAACTAACATTTAAATTGTGTTATAGATCGCACATGTCAAATATTTTTTTTAAAACAAAAATTGTCCACTCTACTGGCATGGTTATCACTACTTATAAAAAAGCTCCTGTTTTTGTGTAAAAATAAAGAATTTGAATGCCCCGTATTCTTTATATATAATACCTGCATTGGCTGCAAGATGTCAAATAATGTATGTTTGAATAGATCACGGTGAAAATCTAAAATTAAACTTGCTATTTCAAATATCAAAGCAAACAGAAAAATACGCCACTTGATCTGCTGTAAAATATTGTTCAGTGATCTTCTCGCTTTCTTGTACGTCACTTGGTGCCTGTTGGAGAGTTGTCTCATTGGCAATCATACCACATCTTTCTTCTTATTATTATGTATAAATATGTAGGTAATTTTTCATTCATCACTACATTAAATCGACTCCGGTTTCTTATAAATAACTTCAGGGCTCGGGCACGTTCAAGAAGGGCAACTGATGGACAGATTATTAGTATCTTAGTTTTCAAACACAAAACCAATGTGCAAAATCTAGTAGAGCCGTAACTCAAGTCGTCAATCAACATGAATTGCTCAAAGGATATATTTACACGATAGGATATTTTTATACTTTTATATAAATCTGAACAAACATCTTTGCAACTGTTTTTGGGCAAAGAATGGCGTCAAGTTCAAGTCTAGTTGGGGTTGTACGTATTTTCTTTTATATACATTTTTGTCCAGGAATACGCATTAGAGGATTTTACGTTTCAACCGTAGAAGCATTATCTGATTTATTACAAATGGTGTTTGTATGATTAAGATTTTAGATGATATGTTTGTTTTCTGTTTATAAGATTTGATTGCGATTTAAGAAGTGTGTTATTTATAATTACAGTGGACAGTTTTACAATATACCACCAGCACGTTTAAAGTACGAAATAATTCCAAGTATTCAGAAACGAAAAAGGATACTCACAGTATATTTACTTTCACACTGAGAAATGCATGTTCTTTTATTTCTTCTATTCGATTATTAGACAGGTCACTGAAAAATATTGAGAAATTAGTTTCAGTTGTCTACCTTACACACAGGAAATGCTATCAGGCGCATACATTTGTACCGATTGGTATCGAAGATTAGAAAATATCATCAATTGGTCAGCTATTTTTTCAACTAAAAAAACATCTGACGATTGAGAACTGAACTTATTATGCGGTATGAGTTTTACTCATTGTTGGAGGCCGTATGGTGATATAAGTTGTTAAATTCTATGCCATTTGGTCGCTGGTGGAGAGTTGTGTCAGTGGCAATTATACAACATCTTCTTATTTTTATATGATATCGCTCCTTTATTTTACTGTTGGCACGAACACATGTCAGATATATTCCATGTTATTTTGGGTTGAAATTAAACTGTTTTCTTGCATAAAAATTGCATAAGAAGCCTGTATACCTTACCTTACAGTACTGGTGTTTGTCAATTGTTTGATATAATGGAGTGTCTTATAACTGTGTAAAAATTCACTCTATAATCTTATGGTGCTTTAAACACGGTTGGTATTATTAGCGATCATATCACTACTAATATTTTTTCTTCACTATGACGACAAAGTTTGGTTAAACAGCTCCAGTGGTTCACTTATCTTTTGCTGTCATAAACGTTAAACGTGGCGCCCTGAATATTACTAACAAAGGTCAATCCAAAAAAAAAACAAAAAAACTCAGTTTTATTTTAACTTACATTTCATCTATTAAACCATTCTGGTCTTTATTGACAGTAACAAAATTCTCAAAATTTGGTACACTTGTCAACCCACTGTGAAGTATATGTCTAAAAAAGTGCATAATTATACAATGTCTTAGCTCTAATATTATTAAATGTCAACGTTTTGTTTATTTTTTTTAACCTGGTAAGAACCTAACTGTTCAAGTTTACGAATGCCGCCGTGGTTTAAAAATAAAACAGGAGGTAAGTACCGTAAAAAACTATAACTATCGGTCTGGTTTTTTTTTAAGCAAAATGACGTAATATGCACAGTTAATCAAATTATTCATCTAGACGTGTATATAAGATTTGTAATAATCGTGCAGATTTCTTAATGAATAAATTTCGCAAACCGGAACTCCATCCATCTGCCAATGTGATTTTGCTAAGTGAAAGGAAATAGTATATATTTTTTTTTATAAGATAACGATATGAAATTCTGTGATATTACAGAAAACTAATATACTAGTTTCCCATGATTTTCCGTATGTTTCTACAACATGAATATTCAAAGAGAGAAATTGCCATATATATTGCTTCGTGTGATGCCATGACGTTTGACTGTAAATAAATATACATATTTGGGTACCTTCATATGATTCCAAGAAGTCTGAATGTAAACAAATATGCATACTATGGTACAGATGTTGAAGTTGTTTCTTTTGTGGTAATGTTGGATATGTCGGTGGTGTTATTAGTGATAGTGGTGTTGGTGATTGTAATAACTATGTTGTCGATGAAGTCAATCAATAGTTTTACAATAATTTACCCACTGCCTTATGCTTTCTACGAAAAAAGAAAGAAATATAAACAAACTTGTAAATGTAATGTAATAATTTCAATTGTTTATCTTTAAACTACTTACATTCTGTTAAGAACACGGAATCTGCCAAACACTCCAGATTCAATGGTATGCAGGCGATGACACCCGGTAATTCCTCTGCAACATGACAAAGAAAGTTCATAAAGTCTAGTGAAATGTAAGTATCTTAGGTAAATACTACGAACAAAACAAATTATGTTCATATACATAAAATTTTATTTTCATTTTGTAAACAAGAGAATATAAATAAATTCAAATGATCCTGCGTGGATCACTTTTAATATTTTTCATCTGTAAATTGGTAAATAAGAATTAAAAAAGCTCCGTAATGGCGTATTTTTGAAATTGAAAATGTCTACCAAGAGAATTTTCAATTCTATTCAAACCCCCTCCTTCAGAGCGGTGATATAACAATTATACAGACATTTGTCAATTGATAAAGACCGAATGTTGATATTTTACTGAATGTTCTAGGATTTTTGTGTAACTGGTATGCTATCTCATTGGCGCATACCCCACACCTCCCTGTAACTATTAAAAAAATGATTTTCGGCGGTGGATTTTACAGTATGGTATGTATAAACAAAGTTCCTTCCAAGGCTTTTTTTTTTCAATTTTAGTAAAGTACATAAGTGAAACATCCACTAAATATGCAATTAATTAAATTAAAAGATTAACTGTCACAAAACGTTATTTTTTCTATAGTTACTATGCTGAAATAATGAACTCAAAAATCGTATACATCCTACATAGATGGGCTTTGAGTCGAAAACCTTTATCAAAAGAACTGTAAGCTGTTTATACAGATGTTGCTTTTTTTTATTTCATGACTAAATAGAAAACAATCAGCGTCGATGTGGTTAGAACTCAAATCTCGTATCAAATGAGTTCAAGTGAAAATTGTCGTCAGTTTTAAACATCGAAATTCATAGAAAATATCGGATTTGTGTGCATTAAAATTAAACATATTGACATGAATATTTGAACTCATTAAAAAAGAAGACCTAAGTGTTTCGTTGTACGTTCTGTTGAACATGTCACATGCCTGAATGAAGTATTCTATTAATGACATTTTATGTAGTCTGGAATATATCTTTTTGACATAGTTAAGATATAAGGGTTAAGTGAAATGCGAAGATGCAGAAATTAGAACGAATGTTCTAATAGACATGGATTTTGTTAAATTTGCAAGGACTGAACAATTAATTTACATGTTAATCACTTAATTTCCATATAAAGTGACATCAAATTATTCTCATAAAATTGATGAATGTTCTTAAAAAGCAAAGTAAATTCACGTATGTTAGAATAACATGATTTGATACGGTTATCCAGAAATAGAAATTAAAATAATTTGATATCATTCACCAATAAGAGATATTTCCAATCGGTTGTTGGTATGCGAAATAATTACGGTTGACATACTTGGGGAGGCCTGCTACGAATGATTCCGACTAAAAATGTAGGCGTATTATACACCAATGTGTAGATAAATCAATTTAGATTTACGGCATAACAAGTTTTAGTAGGGTAGAAAACCGAGAAATCGAAATATAACAAAAGTTCGCGACAGGGTGACATTTTAAAAAAATGCGAGTTAAGTACCTTGTGTTATATATATTAAGGTATACAGGGGAAAAAATCAGAGACAAGTGCCTGTGATTCTGTCCAAAATTATCAACATATTAAAAGCAAAACCTTCTAATTATTCACACAAATCTCCATTCGATGTTTTGATATATTGCAATCTTGCTCCAAATTTTCAAAGTTTGACATAAAATCATTGGTACTGCCTCCAGCTGAAGAAAACAGTGATATTTTACAGTTTGGACATTAACTATGCAAAAACCATAGCTGTAAGTTGTGTTTGTTGCTGTATGTATAAATAAGAAGATGTGGTATGAGTGCAATGAGCTGGATTATGCCCCTTGGGAAACTTCATTTCCAAATCAGTCCTTTCCAAGAATCGACAAATGGAAAGTTTTATGCTATTTGTTACAAAAACAGATTTAAAAAATATAAAATGATGCATGAATATAATGTTTTCTGCATGAACTGCCAATAAGGTGAACAACTTAATACATAGTGAAAAGAATAAATTTTATTTTGATTAAGCTGAAACTATGCCTATTTTTGATTATGAAGAAACCCCTCCAACAATGCAAACGCATCAAATTAGCCATAAGGATATATACTCCAGGAGCAGAACAAACCAACTAGAAAGTTTTCAAGGTTAAGATTTTCTCTCAGAAATGTCTTGTTTTCATGTGTATTTGAGGATAAAAAAGGGGATATTCAAAAACAAAAATCGTTATGACATAGTGTTTACATGCATCAATCATTCTGTTAACTTGCGTTTGGTGCATTTAGTACAAAATAGCCAATTGTGGATTCCTTGCATTAAAGTTGTATATCAATAACCATCATTTTTGTCTCAACATGATGACTCTGCACTTTTTCGTCCCTACATGAATCTAGAATCGGATAAATTTTAATTTCTTATACTCCCTGTAGTATAGAAAACTGTAGTATTTAACCATTAGGCAATAATACTCATATTTTCCGACTTATTATTTTAATAATGAACATAAAGATAAACCAGTTATTTGTGCTAGAAGCAATTTATTATTCAGTTTTAGAAATTTCATATTAAATAAAGGCATGACTTATTTAGCTGTTTGTTGTACCAAAAGCAACAGTCCTTTTAAATAATGTTTATGAAAAAGGCTTTTAACAAAAACATCCCAATATATACTTTGGTTGTTCATAAATATATAAAAAGGGACATTATACGCACACATTGAATCATAGATCACTAAAGATGACTTCATTCGCCTTAAATGACATGAAAATGAAACCAAACTTTTCCCTAGTAGTTTAAATGAGATCCGATCCTAACATTTATTTTCGTATTGAGTTTAGTTTGGCAGCGAAAACCCTCAGAGAATGTGCATCATGATGATAAATTAGCCTTGGTGATATGACGTCTGAACAGTAGCATGTTATCTTCCATTAGATTCAAGGACACATCATGGTAACTATTATATGCATGCATTATCTCTTATTTATTCTATGAATGGCAGAAATTCCATAAATCACGATTAAACTAGGTCTATTTCTAGATTTTAACAAATGCGCGTATTTTCAATATAAGAAGTGTTTTAGGAAGTTGTAATATGGTGATATTTCATAACAAATTTATATGTCAAACCTTATTTGAAAATGTCACATATTAATGATCACTATAATGAAAGCCTGAACTAGCCATTAAAGATAAAGATAACGCATTTGCTGTGACATGCAACAACAATTATGTTTAATATTGTTATCCAGCAAAGATAGTTTGATTTAGATAAAAAAAAAAAAGAAACCATACTGTTGATCACTTTTTGTTGTGACTTAGACCCACTTTATTATAATTAATTTCAAAATCAGAGCACATGAACTATTACAGTTGTGTGTTTACAGTTAACAAGCTTTTTAAACATCTCTTTCCTCTAAATGTCATTTTTAGAATCGACCCAAACTATGCCCTTATTTTGTTCAATATTTAGGTTATATCTAACACAGAAAGAGTTGATCACAGATAATTAATGGTTTTCTTTTAACACTATACAAAAATGAATCACAGGAATCGCAAAAAATACCACACAGTTGCAAAAGACCAGCGACATTGTCAATACAAGAGACGGATGATACCAAGATACAATGGGACATTCAAAATAATTGAATCGAAGGAAAACACCTTGGAAATAACGAAAAACGACGAAAAGATAAACAAATTCTCAAAACACTACATCGAACACCATGAAAAAACCGGGGGGTATGGGGGGACTAATGTGCTTCAGAAGGTTAAGAAGTTTCTGCTCCACATATGGCACCCGTCGTGTTGTTCGTGCAAGAAAAAATCCGGTGATGTCATAATCGAGGAAAAGAGGACGAGATTGGTGTTACTACAATTCATGGTCATCCGTGACACAGATATTCCATAACGGTCAACCGACTCGTGATGCCGTCCGTAAAACTTCAACACTTGAACGGGCATCGGTGTTCGAGTGGTCTAAGTAGTCGAACTACTGTATCACTACCCTGTCAACACTGAGGTTGTGAGTTTGAATCCCGTACTTGGCAGGTACGATCGACTTCAATCTTAATTGACTAGGATTGTGGTTCTCTCAGCGCACCCCGTCTTCTTCCACCAATAGATACTGGCCGCCATATAGCACAAATAGCACACTTGTGCTGAAAGTGGCGTTTAACCCCAATTAATCAACCAATCAATCAACACTTGGAACCAAATGAAATCAAATATAAAAATGTTCTACTTTTTGTCCGAAATGTTTAAAACATTGTGTCAAAACATTAAATATCGTTCTATCCTTCTTTCATATTTGCTCCAAAATCCCAAACGAAATATGCGGTATGTAACAAGAAATAAGGAAACTACAATCTCTACAATATTTAATATTTAATTCTTAACGGAAAGGCATATTCCGATGGGTAGGAAATATCACAAGTTGAATGTCAGTATGTTTTTAAAAGTGCATAATAAGTAAAGATTGATTGCTGTTTTCTTAACGTACTGTGGAAAAAATAACCCAAATACGTTGGTTCTGCAAAATGATGAAGGGTGGACATTTAGACATGCAGACGCTGAAAAATTATGATAAATTATGACTGATAGAGGCAAAAAGTTTGCTTACAATAGGTCATCAAAGGCACCCTAAGGAGCTTCAACGTGAAAAGAGCAATGCATTCCCAGTCACGAGGCACTGGATTTAAAATTGCAGTATTGACTAGACGTGACTGCAAATTTATACATCACGCATAGGCAACGGTTAACGGACGACCTCTTTAGCATGGTTTTACTGCCGATAGGAGAAGTCCGTATGACTATATTTCTATATCGCAGTCAACATTTTTGGTAATACTTAGTATAGGCATTAAGATAAATAGAGAGAAATCTGGGGTTTACGTCAATGAAATATCAACCCAAAGGCCCCAAAAACGTTTAGAGGTTAACATTCAGTCTTCAGCTATAGACAGGCGTATAAGATATGTACACCTAAATGCTCTAAAAAGGACTATTTTTTATTGGTACAATCAAAATTTGAATGTGAGCATACATATGCTACGAGGAAACTAAGATTTCCTTCTCTGTTTAAAATCCATTTTCAATGGCAACGTTCTCTCCTTTGGAATAATTACATAGAATAAATTTTCCCACGGGAAATCAAAATCCCAAGGAAATAATGAATGATAAAAAACAAATGAATTATTAATAACTGAAGTGAAATCAAAATATGCATATTCCAAGGGTTATTTATATTTTTGATGGAAGTTAAGTATGACCAACACCTCCTACAGAAAGAAGGTTAAAAAGATCGATATATATATATATATGTATTACCGAAATAACAATTTTAGAACGACGGTATATATCTATATAACATTGAACATATAGAATCAATGGTGTACTGTCACTGTAACAACGTTAGCAGTTATATTCAACACAAAATCTCAGTGGTACATTGTAAATTTACAAATTCTATATTTGCGCTTTTTCTATAGAACATTTGCGCTTTATCTCTATCGTTCACCCGAATAATTTTTTTTCTGATTGTGTCGTTTGTTTGGAAGAACTTTCAAAATATATGTGAACATCTTTCCATGACTTTGTTTAATTTGGTAAAGATTACAGTTAAACTATCATAGGTAAAAAGCGCAAATGTCCGGTCAATTTAGGTCAGGTGTATTACCGTTTAATGCGCAAGTGTCCATAGTGTTTGGAGCGCAAATGTCCTTTCGTGTTACAGGAAAAAGTGCAAACGTCATGGTCCATTTTTACATGATGATCAATAAAAATGAATCAAAGTTAAATGTATATTCTAAATATACTTACATCACTTTTAGGAAATTTAAATCATCAAAACAGGAAGGTGTTAACTTCTCAAGTAAACAAGGACTTTCGTCCAAATATCTAAAAAATCTGAAATAATTAAATGGAATTATTAATGTACAAAGGTTTTACTATGTGTAGCTAACCTTGTAAGGATCTCCTTAAATTTATATAGGACGATTCAGTGAAAAGAACTGTACAATGATAGCAATTATTCTTCTATTGAAATTAAAAGTTGAAATTTTTAATCCTTTCAAAATAATTCAATTGTTATATTTAACTTAATATATATTGGGAAAAATACTAACATAACTGTAAGAAATGTCATTTACCCCAGTTTTTGTTAAATAGAACATGCGGAACGGTCTTGATCCCGCAAATATTAAAATCACAATGTTATTTGAAAAAGACGAAATTGGAAAAGACGTATTGTTAAGTTATGCTGTTTCTGATATTTTATTATGAACGATAAAGTGTCAATATAATTTCTTTTCGATGGAACAAACACACTACCATCTCTCACCTACTAAATTACAACTTTAAGATAGAGATACATATTAAAATGCTAATCACAAATATACAGTATAAAAATGGCTTCATCTTATTGGGACATTATTAGGGCCATTGAGGTATTTTACTTTCAGTAAGTAATTGATCTTTAAGGAAATCCCCTTGTAAAAATTCTCCACAAAAGCATATCTGAATGCAACTTACGAATCGTATATTTGTATTTATGTACTTACATTCTTGAAACAAGAGGAAAAGCTTCAAAGGCTTTTTCAGGAACTACCCTAATTAATGTTCCACTGAAATATCTGTAAAATGAAGCAAACAGGTATTAAATAAATGAGAAATGTCATGATAACCGAGGTCGAAGACTCTCATATCAAATGATATTTAATCTGTTTGTCGGTTACAATCTTCCTACCTTTAATGGTTTTATACATTCTTAATTTTTCTTTTTATAAACTTCAACAAAACAGTAGGCTAAACTATCCTGTCAGCAGTATAAGCAAAATAGGTAACTATACGACCTCGTAATATGGGCCTGTGCTTGCACTAATAACAAAAATAAAAGGATACCGAAGAAGGCAAAAACAAGAACACAACTTCATAACCAACAAACCAAAAACAAAAATACGGTGCACAAGCTCTACATTACCGAAAATTAAGATAAGTGGATACTTATTTCAAAGGAACTTCGACCAAATATCTGACACGGACTCTATGTTCTGAGGTTTCTCGAGGAGCGTTCCAACTTAATCCATTACTTTATAAAAAAAATAATAAGAATATATGGTATGATTACCAATGAGACAACAATCCACCAGAGACCAAATGAAGTAGAAGTAAGTAACTATATAAATCACTACATGGCCTACAACAATTAGCAAAACCCATACCGCATAGCAAGCTATAAAAGGCCCCGAAATAACAAATGTAAAACAATTCAAACGAGCAAACTAACGGCATGGTTTAAGTATATATATTAAACAAAGGATAATAACTGTGATGCTAAAAACAATATTCTATTCTATTATAAATCCATTATACTTATGCCAGATACAAAACAGCGACAAACGTTATATTGACGAAGTTCCTGATTTTGGACAAGGACGTAGACAAAACTTAAAATAGATGATCTAATTTTGTGAATACTTGACCCTGTCTTGCAATGTCGCTCAGTTGAAGATCAATGGCCACAAATAAATCCAGACTAAAAGCGTCACAGAAATATTACTTACAAATAATAAACTTAGTTACGTCAATGAGACAGCAACCCCATAATACAAACAAAAAATTCAACAAACATCTAGGCGGAACATGCTGTCTTAACTAAAAGATAGGTATCTTAAAATTTTATTAAATGATTTCTGTATTACAGATAACCAAAAAAAAAACAACGATAAAAGAACAAATACAAACTATTATGCGTGTTCATTTCAATGTCTTAAAAAAATTTACAATGTTTGCAGCAAATATATGATGTATAAATGTTACTAGGTATATTCTCTATTTTGACTATCGTTTTTCTTCCATAAATCATCGTATTTCTGTTACTCTTTCAACGGACCATTTTCGTTTTTAAAGTTTATAATATGCAGTTATAGCATTGATATTTTCCAGATACCAATATATTTAAATTAGTAAAATTCCCTCTTAAATCATAAAAGCAATAAATAGTAACAAAAATTATATAATTATTCTGTTTTCAATAAAGATGCTTTTAATTCTACTGGAATTAATGGCATTCTCTTAACATGTTATATAGCCATGCCTTTCATGTAGAATTACACAAAAAGGTTTAATTATCTGAACTACTAAAATGAGAAATAAATGGAAAGACATCCATGTTTTTGTGTACTGCGAAAGGTTGAAACATAAAATATAACTAGTAATTAAAACTACTGAACAAATTTCTAAGAATCTGCCAAAATCTATTGTCATCCATATTGACTAAAATTTTCCAATGCATTTGTCAACGTTATTTTATTCAGTTAAAATCCTAGACTTTTAACAATGTGTTGCCAGTTGTGCTGGGTGTAGGAAAAATGCAGTAGCATCCGATCAGTATGAGGAAGTTATAATGAATCCTCGTAACAATTATTCAAGGTGACTATGGGAGGCCTTTGGAAAAACAAAATGTCTCCCCTATCTAAAATACTTTTTTCAATTCAGTTTTGAGGCTAATCACGTGACATTATTATGTAATTTCACAAATAAAGGTTAAGCCTGAAATTGCAGTTCATTTGAAATTTTGTCAAATTGACAGTATCGAATGCAGTATAGTTTTCGAAGGCATAAAGTTTAAGGACAGTGCATCTGGAGATAAATGCAAAATTAAAAATATCGTATTACATTTGGGAGTTTCCAAGGATATGTTAGAAAAGTTAAAAACAAAGAAGTTTCACAACAACTTCAGATATAATTAATGGGCTAATTATCAAATTGCTAATGGAAATTAGAGTTGCACTATCGTAAAACACAACTTTATTCTGTTAATTGCGAGGAAGAGATTTGACAAGAGGCATTATTTGACACCTGAAATAGCAAAAATTGTAAAATTCTTCAATCTCCAATGTTTTTCACATTAATATCTTTGTATAATATATATATATATACCAAACGATGTTTTTCCGGATAAGACTGTTGCTCATATCTAAATATTTATGATCCCAAAAATAAGGTGGTACCGTGATAACGTGCTCGCTTTCAGCTGGCATTCGGGAGGCTTTTGGTTCGTTCTCCTGTTTGGTCAAATCAAAAGACCTTACACATTAGTATTTTCTGCTTCTTCACCATGCACCCATAATTTTAAGAGGAATATCAATGGATTGTCAGCTCGGGATAATGTGTCGAAGTGGAGTGATATGTATGGCTGTAAACTGTTACCTTGTGTACTAGCACGACATCCGACCCAGTATGTAGGGCTAGTAAAATTTACAAATTTGGATATATTAATATCTGATTAACATGTTTTTATTGTTATTGTAATCTTTGCAACTGGACCTTTATCAATCCTTCTATCAATTAAAAAAACGGAGGTTATTTTTTCAACGGCACTATTTGCAGTTTTTCCTAAAAAAAAACCTAATGAAAATATTTGAGATAAAATTCAAAAAAGAAATATTGATATCTGACAGACTAATGCCTAGAATTGTATCTAATACTGACAGTTAGGAATTCAAGGTACTAACATGTGGCGTCATCATGCCTTTTCCCGGAAAACGTCTTTCAATCCAAAAATCTAAAGAACATCTTCGATCTTTTAAGCAAAGCAAGCGAATTGTTAAAGAAAGTCATTATTGTGTTCAATAGCGCAAATACTAATTCAAGTGACACATTTGAACTTAATTATTTTTTCATCTTATTTGACGCAAAAAGGATATTGGTCTATGGAATTCTATGAATGAAAATGATTATTTTGTTTAATATTTGGATAACTATTATGTAAAGTACTATCATATATAAATTAGAGTTAAGCCTTGTCGCATTTTAATAACAATTGTTAGAAACCACAATAGTGATTACAAAAACCATGTTGCTTAACAAATGTATGTAACTTTCTTCTATCCATTCGGATATAAAAATAACAGTTGTGGTATTTTAACATTACACTACGGCTTATTATATGTCACAATAATTAACCTGAAAAATCCCTTTATTGCAAATAGGTTGTTCCGTTTAATGCGTAAGCTAAATTACTGATTGATTGTGATGTCCTTGTTCCACTCACAGTGACAAATATTTCATCCACATGGAGGACTAAAACAATAAATTAGGTACGTTGAAAAGCGGGATATTTTATACTGTCACTTGAACAGAGTGTGCTTAGGGTTGAATTCGAAAATTGTACCCTGAATCAAAGAGTTTGCAAAGATTCTTAAACGCGAAGATAACGTGAAACGCTTCGAACGCGGAGGATCAGACACCGTCCAAGTTTTGATCTGCACATATATATTCATGTAAATATATATATATATATATATATATATATATATATATATATATATTTACATGAAATCCTGCAGCGCGTGACCCTCTCAGCACGGATCATATTATCTGGACGGTAAAATTCTAAGTTATCAGACTTGTATAACACAAATACCCTTTGGCAACAATAGTTAATAGATAATGTGTTTAAGGTAATTATTTCAAACATTTCTTTATATCACAATTTGTTTCATGTTGTAAACATGAAATAGAGAGCTTGTATAATTTCAACTTGGTATGGAAATTATTCTATTTATTGTTTAAGAAAAGCTTAACGGTAATGTTCTAAATACAGCATATAAAAACCCCACATGATCCTCGTACACTTGTCTTATATAAATATAATTTGATCTTTGTCTGGAAAAACGAGTTCACTATGATTTAAATAATTTATGGATAATTACGTTGACCAGTACAAATCATTTTTTTCATCTAATTTGATCTCCTACGATAAAAATGTCTAACCAATATCTGATAAAATAGAAATTTGTTATGAAAAGCGTTAATTGCCATGCATCATATTTAGGCTTGACAAGCATTATCATACGAAATCCACAGATCAAATTCTTTATTAACTCGAAAAAAGATCGAAAATGTTTCTTGTGTGGGTGATTTTATGTCCCAATTAAGAAAATTTACTTGAATGTATGACTGACTGTTAGGATTAAACTTTTAAGAAATATAGAAATGACTGGTGAATTTGATGAATAAAAAAATAATAATAATGAACAATCTTTAAATGTTTAGAAACAAAATGTCTGATGAATACAGATTTTGTTCTAAATAACATTTTTTTTCTTCTAATTTTTCAACATAGACCATACTGGCTTACTAAGCAAGAAAAAAAATCGAAATATATGCCAATAAGTAACTCTCAACATCATAATTATAGTTGCAGAGGTGTTCCTTAAAAAGGAAAAAGCCACAAAGCCAGGATATATGCCAACAACGAAACGTTCATCTGAAACTTTATGTTCACATACGATAAGTATGTTACATTTAGCATCTTTAATGAATAAACTGATTGCAAGGGTGTTCGTCTTTGGGTCTCTAAAAATGCATTCACACACGGATTTAAACACAAAGGCGATCTACACACAAATAAAAACCCGCTTACGACACCAAATCAAGTCCGGGTTGACTTGGCATTAAGTGTTAAGCAAGCGTTGGCAAAACGAATTTGTTTCTGCTTAACGACTCTAGTTAAGTAAAGCGATTGTCTGGATGTTCGGATATTAAAATACAAAGAACAGTTTGTCTGATTTACCAACGCTAAATCCACAGTAAAAATAATCTGATAATAAATCGTAATACATACACTTCAGTACTCAATTTCTTAAGTATGTACATGTTTTTGCATTAAGGTGGAGGTTGTAAGTCTTGTAACTTTATTTGTGTTTTATGTTTGTTTTGCATTTGAGATCATAGATTAATTGAATCTTGATGGTATGTTTTTAGCTAAACGCCCAGTAGTTAATATTTCATACACATTAAGGACGAGAACAAAGGAATAAATCCAATAGGTATATATCAATTTTTCAAAGTAGATTGAACATAAATATGGCAGTTAATTAGAATGCCAGTTGACAAAGTTTTGCCTTGCAACCTGCCAATTACGAACCCCTCAAAGACTTGTTACCAGAACTCTTTAACGGCTCCATTCCTGACTTACGTGGATGCGTGTTTACTCATAACACAAAGCCAAAACAGACGATCTTTTAAGTTTTAATGCCTAGATTGAGAAGTTCAGATGATGATCATAGTTCTATACTCTAGTCGACACTCGGAGTTTTTGATAGGTTTGTTTCCTTCGTTTAATACTTTTTTCGAACCATTTTAGTTGTTTTAGTTTTACTTTTTAATTACATGCTGAAAGCTTCGTATTTAATACCCCTTTTCAGACCGGAGGTTTATGCTTACTCAGTCTAGTGTATTATACATATCCAACATCCAAACGGACGATTCTCTGAAGCAAAAAT